ACAAGGAGGTGAATGTATGAACTAGGATGGAGCCCTATGCCTGGTGCACTAAATCAACAGCTCTTTCTAGTAACTTCCCTGCTCAGCCTCTGAATGCACTAAGGGACTTTCAGACCACAGTTTGGCTTCCCAACAAGTTCATTTGTCATCACGAGGACACTGGCTTGTAAACATACAGCTATATTTTTCCATTAAAAATGAGCACATTGGTCTCGGGCTTAGGAACTTCATGTCCTAGTGAGTTAGGTTGTCTGTGTCAGCTTATAGGAGGCTGGTAACTGTGGAGCCCTAACTGGGTCCATTTTCTAGACCTGTGATACTAAGAACCGGCACCTTGGCTGGGAGCAAGTTCATTGAGCAAATAATGTCCCACTGAGCCTTTTGAGACACAGCCAGTGTTGATCCTGCCTTTCCTTTCCTTTTCACCGGTCTCTTTCCAAATCCTACACATTTGGCCAGTCTGGGAAGATGTCCTCAAGGCTGGGGGCTTCCAGAAAAACCCCTTTCTGTCAGGTTCCTAGTGAGAGGGGGAGCTCTTTGCTTATGCTGTTGCAGATTAGATAAGCGGATGCGGGCTTGAAACGTATTGACTGGCATAGATAGTGGGCACTGAGCCTGACTGCTGGATAGTGATTCTTTGCTTCTTCCTAATGCCAGAATTCTAATTTTCTTCAGAATAGCAGTGTGCCCAGTGGGAGGCTGGGGTCCTTGTTGCCCTAAAGCAAGGGTTGACAGACTTTTCCTGTAAAGGGCAAGATAGTAAAATGTAGGCTTTGTGAGCCAAGAGGAAACTTCTGGGTAGTTTTCTCACCATGACATATTCTTTCAACCACCTTACTACCCCTTCCACTGAAACATGTAAAACTCATTCTTAGGTTGCGGGCTGTACAAAATCACGTGAGTGTGGACCTTCACTGCCAAGCATCCAACCTATTTTGACTTCATCAGTCTCCCTTGGAGGGTGGTCATAGGACTCAGTTCTGGCCCATAAGAGCCGAGTGGAGGTGTGCTAGGGGAAGGGCTCAGGGAAAGCTTTTTGTTATCTTGATAAAAGCAGACTTTTCTCCTTTTTTCTCTGTCTTGAATAAGAATGTGGATTTTGGAAACATTGATCATGATCAGGCAACAGAGAGTACGTGAGTCGACACAGCAGAGATTAGAAGGCAGAGGCAGAGCTTGTGTCTGCGATGAACAATGCCCGCAGCCACCCACCCTGTAACTTGTCAAGTGAGAAAGACGACGCCCCATGTTTAAGCAGCTGTCCCTCAGCGTCCTCGTTACCTGCAGTTGCATTCTTCACCTTTCCAGCGTGCTAGAGATGTCCATGGCTGTCTGCTCCCGGCCCATCTGGGAATATCACTCCACCCACGGACACTGGCACCTGGACAGCTGTGTTTTATACCACGTGATCGGACCCACTTCTGCCTGCCTGCCCAGCTGGTCAGACTCGACCCCAAATTAGCCAATCCATAGGCTGGCCAGTGACCTATGACCTCTGGGGCTTGGCCCAAGAGGTGAGTGGGGCCAATCTGGCCCCTCCGAGGACCCCTTCTGTGGTTTCTGGCAGGACAGAAAGAGGTTGACGCAACGCTATGGTGGAATCATGTGAATGATGAACCCCTGGAGGGAACGCCCATAAATGTCATGGGGGAGGTCCCTGGAATTGCCTCCCATGCATCCCTCCCTCCAGATCCCGGCTCTGAGAGCTCAGGCTGTCATGGCCCCAGTTCTTGGATTTCTTCTGGATTCCAAATGCATCCTGCATTTCCTGCTTAGTTCCTCCCCAGACCAGAGCAATTTGAGGATGTAGGCTGGGGTCCTGTCCAGCATGCCTTTTGTTTCCCTGCTCTTGCCAGGGGGTAGGTGGGGAAGGGCAGAGAGCCAGCCCCAAACTGCAGGAGAGTCCAGAGCAGCCCCTCTGCCCAAAGACCCTGCTTCCAACACCACCTGAGTCCACAGGGCTCCCCAGAGAGCTCTTCTGAGCAGAGGCTGCGGGAGCGGTTTAGCCTTTACCAGCATCTGGTTTTGTGCTTCGCTGGAGCCACAAGAAGAAGAAAAAAAGGAAATTCTTTCCAAGTAGACGGTGAACATGTAAGTCCCTGGGGGTGTAACAGGATGGAAATAGAAACAGGGTCAGGAGGGCACTGAAGAGTCGGGGCTTTGACAGGTCGCGAAGGGAGGGCGACCAAGGTCCCAAACCTTTTGCCAGGACCTGTCAGCGCCTGGAGCAGGAGGCACTAAAGGCTTGGGGTGGGGCTCCAGGTGGAGGGGTGGCGGGTCGGAAGGCACATAGAGCTGCAGAAGTCCAGGCACAGCTGGCTGTCTGGCTGGGGGAGGACACAGGCTCCAGCCTTGTGAGGATGGGCAGAACCAGTAGGGTGAGACAGTGGTGTTGAGTATTAGGTGGGCGATGGGGCAGTGTCCCAGGGAAGGGTCAGTTGGCCAGCTCCATCAATCCAGGATTTAACAAACACTTACACCCAGCCCTGAGCAGTTCTGGGAACGGCCTTCTCCCCATGCACAGGTACGGATTCTAGCAGTGGGTCTGAAGCCAGGATGACCTTGGTGCAAGCTACCAGGGAGGCTGAGGGATACGTGGGGGTTCGTTTGGGTTAGGGGATCTGGAAAGATCTTGGGAAGAAGGTGGGCAGGCTCAGGGCTTCCAGGAGCCTGTGGCCTCAGCACCAGTGGCCTTGTCTTGCCCACATGGAGGTGAGGAGATGACCTTGCAGGAGGCGAGTGGCCTGGTATTTGGGGTGTCTGGGATCCACCCAGGCGGGTGGAGGGTGAACACACATCTGGAGCTACAGACAAACTCTTGGGAGCCATTTATATACAAGTGGTCACTGAGATCATTTGGAATGGATGAGATCGTGTGGAGAGTTGAGAAGAGGAAGAAGAAAACCTTGGGGGACATATAATGGCAGAGAGAGGCGCCTGCGCAGGAGGCAGAGAGAGAGAGAGAGAGAGAGAGAGTGTGTGTGGCCAGGGAACCAGAAGAGATCCCAGGGGCGTGGCTTGGGTGCGGAGAAGAACATTTCAGCCACCAGCGCGGACTGTGGCAGACAGAGGGAGGAGGTCGGGGAAATGAGACGTCCCAGGTGACTTGCAAAAGCGGCTCTGGGGGATGCTGGGGACAGAGGTCCCTGAAAGAGTGTGGGAAGCAAGGCAAGATGGGTGGCAAGAGCCCAGCTCAAATGGGGAGGGCGGGCAGACTGGACTGGGGCCCGGAGTGGGAAGCAGGAATGAGACTTTCTAAGGATGGTGGGGGCAAAGGGCTTAGGCAAATGCCAGTGTCTTTGGAGGCTCGTTCCGCCCTGTCCCATCTCACAGGGCCATCCATTTCCCACTCACAAACTCCCTGAAGGCCTCATCCCATTTCTTGAAGATTGTGTAAAGGAACTCTTATTCCCATTCTAATCAGTGCTGAGAGTCTTCCCATTCTCCCAGCCACCTTGACCTTTCCTGGGGGCCTCCCGGAGACGACGGCCTCATTTCTCTGTGTACCGAAGAGACAGTATCTCTAATCAGATGTGTCTACTCTATGACCCTTTGGCATGTCCTGACACCAAGGTCAGCAACTCAGTGCATTAGCTGTGGCACAGCCTCTCTGGGGGCTTTGCAGCTCTCCGATCTCCTGAAGGCTTGGTATGGGGGTATAGGAAGAAACAGTTGTGTGCAGAGGGCCTCGGTGCCCAGGAGATGGGAGCTGAGACTTGAACATCAGACATGTCTTGCTGATTAGTCATTGTGCCTGGAGAAAGTACCGGGCAAGCTGCCAGCCCCACCTGCCTGCATGCCTAATGGGTTAACCACGACAGGACAGGGAGGACCCCCCCAAATTCCCCTTATGAAGGCTCCCTCCCCAGCGTGCTCCCTTGTCCCCGCTGTTGGCCTCCTGTGGGCTTATCTGCCCTGGCATGTGGGAGCCCATGTTTACCTGCTCAGAGACCCTCCCCTGCCACTGAACCCCTGCCCGGGAGCCCAATGTTCAGTTCTTTGACAATGGGGTCTGTCCCCTCGTTGACCCCTGATTTGAGGAATGGCCCCCACCTTGGTGAGAAAAGAGCAAGGACTGTCCCCCAGTGTCCCCAGCTTTAGGGTGGCCAATGTGCTGTAAAGTGGGCCCTCTTCGGGGTCTGCAGCATGTTCCCAGCACCCCCACATTAAACTGCCCTTCCTGGGCCTTCGGGGGATGCCAGGCCTGAGGATCTAGACCCTGCTGTAGACCCACAGTATGAAATGTCTGCTCCTGGGCACCAATAATGGCAGTCTTTTTACCTTATAAAATTGTGGTGACCTTTCAAGCACCTTTCAGACTACTTCCTCAGTACAGGATGGAAACTTCTGGCTCAAACTACTGGTCCACATGGGGCCCAGCAACTGGTTCTTCCAGTTTTAGAAAATCCCCACTCCAGACACCCTGGGGTATCACCTAACCAGGTTTCCACGGGACCACAGTCACCACCCCCACTCTGGTTGTATGTATGTGATTGATATTATCCAGCCGAAGACTAGATTACCTGCAGTCTCTTGAGAATGTGACAAGTGTTGGACATTTCACTCAAAGCTAACAAGTATGGTTCCTAAGTAGGTGTTCTTTCACTCATCATGTACACTTGTCTACATGGGCTTGTATATTTTTTCATGTAATGTTTCACGCATTTAACTGATGGCCACCTTCCTCACTGAGGCCCTCAGAGCATCACAGATACATCTGGGGAGACTGACAAAGCGAAAATTTATGCTTATGATTACTGTTTGATTCCCAAGACTAATCATGTGAATTTTAAAAGCCACCAAACTCCTGAGTCCTTTGGTCATGCTAAAATTCCCAGAGGATAGCAGCCATCAGTTGAAGAGGCCTTAAGTTGCAATTAGAAAGTGAATGCAGACCCAATCTATCCTGTTGTGGGGCTTTAGAACTTGAAGGATTTTAGGAAAAAAAAAAAAAAGTAATTCTTTATGGGTTACAAGCTAAAGAGGGACAGTTTGCACAGTTTGGACAAAATAGAAGTACTCTTACCAATAAATATGTCTCAAAATGACAAACAAAGCTCTTCCCGTTTGATGGCTCCAGATCCCAGCAAGAAGTGACGGGCACAGGCACTATGTACAGAGTGTAAACAGTAAGGCCCTTGGACATAATGAGGGGCAGGGCCGGGTGATGGGGTATGCATGATAGAGCCTCTGTAGGGGGGAGTGGGTCCATGGGTCAATACAACAGGCTTGTACAATGGTCATCCAATCTGCCACCAAAGTTTGTTGGTGGTGTTGGCAGGTCCTCTGGGTTCCTCCAGTCGGCAGTAAGGAGAAATTGTGTCCATTGAGAAGCCTTGGCCCCACGGACTTTTTCCCCAGGGGAGGCGTTGGAGAGAGCCAAGCAGGGCCTCTGTGCCCCTTCCTCCCCAGGAGAGGCAGGCCTGCCTGGCCATACTTGAGGCTGTCTACCCAGGGTTCAGAGCAGGGATGGGACAGTGTTTCTCAAACAGGGATTGGGAGCCAGTGGCCCCACGGAGCCCGAAGCCCCTTCCTCTTCAAGAAGGAGCTCCGGGCACCTGTGTCAGGAGGGGGCCAAAACTTGTCAACTTTCAAAGGCCTTACCCCGGCCCCAGTTCCTCAGGGAAGCCAGAGAGCAGCCGCCCTGATCAGTGTCCGGGTCCCTGATGCCGCACCGGCCTCTTGAACAAAGCCAGCCTCCCTCCCGGCCCTCCCCTCACCGCACCCCCAGCCCCTTTCCACCTCCCCCAGCACGCTCCCCGGCCTAGCTCAGGGCCTAGCTCGGGGTGCTTAAATATCAGTCTCCCGGAGGTTGCTGTAATCGGCCAATTCGTAGGCCTGGCAGGTGGCGCCTTCGGCCACTTCGTGGGGGACTCCCAGGGACACCGCCTCCACCTCCGCGCGCAGGGGGCTGGCGGCCTCTGCGCGCTGCGCGCTCCCGGCGCGGATCTTGTGCGACAGGCTGGAGACCTTGGCGCGCAGCTGGGTGGTGGGTCTCCGGAACGGCCCGAGCAGCCTCCACTCGCGGAAGGCGCAGGGCGACTTGCGACGACCGGCGACAGGAGGAGCCTGCATCTCGGGCGTGCCCGGGGAGCCGGGGGCGGAGGGTGCGGTGAGGGCCAGCGGGGCTCCAGGAGGCGCGGCGCCCGGGCCGGGAGCGCAGTCGGGGTGCGGGCCGCCGGTCGAGGCCCGCCAGTGGTGGCCGTAGACGCGCCAGAGGGGACGGCGGCGCCGGCGACGCCGGCACTGGCAGCGCAGCAGGCGGAGGAAGGCGCGCTTGAACTCGCGGCTGGAGCAGGGGTAGATGAGCGGGTTCACGCAGCTGTTGAAGTAGCCGAGCCAGAAGATCACCTTGAAGACGCCCTCCGAGGGCTTCAGTTGCGGGAACAGGGAGCCTGCGGGGAAGGGAGGGGGCAGAGACCCACGCCTGTTAGATGCCCTCAGGCGCAGGGTCATCCACCAGGGGCTCTCAACGTATCTCCCCCAAGGGGTCCCTGAGAGAATTCGAAGGGTCCATGCACTTGGAGGAGGAAAAATCATCTTCCATTTTATTCACTTCTACCTGATATGGAGCATTTCCCTCCATGATGAGTGTAGCCAATAAACCCGAATAGAATGACACCCAACCATAGGAAATCACGGTTCTTGTCGCTCAAAACTGGTGCTGGCTTGGCAGTTTCACGTGATTCCACCTAAGATTACAGTGCCCGCAGATATTTTCCTATCACATTCAGTTGCTGCAGATGCTTTGCAATGTTGTGTATGCTCCTATTTGGAAACGACAATCATCAGAATCCACCACTAGATAACCCTGCTATTTAACGCCTTAACCCAGAAGCACATCACTTACTAGATCACAGATTTCATTCACAAATATTTTGACGTTTTCAGTGAAATCGGTTTTATTTGCAATCCTCTGTGTTTTAGCTTATGCATTTGAAAGCATAACTCTTAAGAAGGGCTCCACAAGCTTGCCAGATGCCCAGGTAGTCTCTCGCACAAAAAGGGTAAGAACTTTTGAATTAAATGTTGACCAAGGCTTGCCCCACATCAGGCACTGCGCTGGGCTCACAACAAACATGGCTAGGTTCTCTCAGTAGCTATGTGCATAAAATACCAAGGGAATGAAGATGGGGTGATGGCAGTGTTCAGCATGTGGGGTGGGGGTGGGGCTGCCAGGGTTCTCACAGGATGGACTGGAGTCTGGCAAGATGAGGAGCAGGTGTTAGGAGTGGAGGGGACAGGTGGGTAAGAGGATTACAACTTTGGGGCCTGGTAGTGTCCTATGGGATATGCCGAGGAAATGTCATTTGGGACAGATGGTGAAGAGCCTTAAATGCTGGAAATTTCAGGGGCGCCTGGGTGGCTCAGTCGGTTAAACATCCGGCTTTGGCTCAGGTCATGATCTTGAGGTTCACGAGTTCCATCCCCGCGTTGGGCTCTGTGCTGACAGCTCGGAGCCTGGAGCCTGCTTCAGATTCTGTGTCTCCCTCTGTTTCTCTGCCTCTCCCCCGCTAGTGCTCTGTCTCTCTCAAAAATAATAAACATAAAAAAATTTTTTAAAAAAATGCTGGGAATCTCTGTATTTATTTGTGAGTAGTTCGGAGTCATGGATATTTTCAAGCAGGCAAGAGACAGAGCCTAGAATTAAGGCTCAATAAACACAATGCCCATGGCTGTTGGAATGCAGGTCAGGGGGGCTGTCTCAGCGGAAGTGGTCAGGCAAGCCTCTGGGGATGGCTTTGCGGGAGCAGAGCGCCAGGCAGGAGGGAGTAGGTGCACTAGGATCTGAGCTGTGTCAGAAAGACCCTCCTCACAAACTTCTCCCCTGGCATCCCCACCACGGACCTGAAAGAGTCACGTCTTCAAAAGGCACCTGACGAAATGCGAGGGCACGACCCAGAAAGCAAAAGCCACCGTCTCATGCTCACATCCTCAGCAGCAGCAGGGGGAGGGGGAAGGTGGCGAGAGCATGGCATCCCAGGCAAAAGCTGTGGGTGGGTGCCCGTGAGGCTGAGCAGACCAGGGGCAGGGGTCCTTGACAAGTCAGGGGACCCGCTCTCTCTTCTCTTTGCCCCCAAAGAAAAACGAGCGGGGTCCCCTCCAGAGGGGGCAGAGGCACCGGGCCCCCTTCTTTGACCCGGGAGCCCTTGCACATCACCCACCTCCCGCCCTAGGGAGAATTCCTGGTACCAAGAGACACGGTGGTGGTGGCAGAAGAGGAAGGTCACACAGCAACACGAGGGACAGGCCTCTCGTACTGTGGTCACGCAGCCCTGAGCAAGTTATTTGGCCATCCAAGTCTCACGTTTTCTGTGAAATACAAGAATATTTCTCGGGGCGCCTGGGGAGTTCAGTCGGTTCAGCGTCCGACTTCAGCTCAGGTCTCGAGGTCCGTGAGTTCGAGCCCCGCGTCCGGCTCTGTGCCGACAGCTCGGAGCCTGGAGCCTGCTTTGGATTCTGTGCCTCCCTCTCTCTACCCCGCCCCCGTTCGTGCTCTGTCACTGTCTCAAAAAGAAATAAACATTAAAAAAAATCAAAATAAGTAAATCAACAGAGTATTTCCTAGGAAGGGATTTGTGAAGATTAATACATCTCAGAGGCAGGACTTAGCAGGCTCTTAATGAAAACACTGGTGTGTCTTTATTTCCTCTCTCCCTATTCTGTGGCTTTTGAGAGAGGACAACTCAGCCCCGGGAAGGGACGCAGCTCCCAGCTCTGGAGAGGAGCCAGGAACAGAAGCCGAGACCTGGTGGGTTTGGGGGAGGCTGGGCAATCAGTCAGCATATGTTGAGAAGATAGTTTCCCCCGGGAGAGGAGTTGGACAGTTGTCCTCGGAATGTGGGGGCCACCAGGGTTGACCTCAGGCTCCAGGAAGGTGGCTCTCTGAATAGCATCCCTCAATGGCTGCAAAGTAAGACACAGTGCTGAAAATAACTCTGACTCAGGCCACAATTCTTTTATATTTAGCGCAGGATGACAAATCAGTGGACTATGCGTTCAGCTGCGAGCCTGAAGCCGGCCAAACAGCATGGTTATCCGCGTGGTGTTTACTCAGATCGGTGGGTGATATGGAGTATCGTACTATGCCCCGGGCTGTGTTATAAACACTATTCTAATTTATGCTCAAGCAACCTGTGCAGAAGCTTGCTACAGGCTGAGAATTCCTTACACACAAAGAACCGGGAACCACTCAGCCTTTCTGCCCCAAGATTTTCCTACTGTGTCCTGCTGAGGTTCTGTCTTACTTTGGGCTCTCCCAGAAGCCGATCCTGAGACAAGGATTCAAGTGCAAGGTGCGAACTGCGGGCAACTGGGGGGCACAATCCCACTGGGAGCTCTGGGAGACCGTGAAGTTCAGGGACCTCAGAGCTATCCCACCAGCGGGGTGAGGGAGGTGGGGTATCTATACACCCATTCCCATCAGTCACTGGTTGGGCTGCTCCCAGGGGTGTTAATTTCCCACACTTCCTGCCTGCTGTGTGAGTGGATGATGAGGATTTTGGTGGGTGGAGAAAGCCCCTGGGCAAAGATGCCGGCAGGCCTGGGGTGCAAGTCAGCCCATATGCCCCTCAAGGTCCAGGGTCACTAACAGCATCTGGCACAATCGTTTCATGTGCTCTCTGCCCACTGTGTGCAGACCTCTTGCCCGGGAAATACAGACGTCCGTGCCTAGGCTCCAGCTTCCACAAGCAACAGCACCTCTGTTCCCCTCACAAGTGGCAGTTCTGAGCCTCACACCCAGCTCTTTCCAGAGTGCTGCCGTCTGCCCTCCATGCCTCCCTGTACCCAGTCTCACTCTCCCTGCTGTCCTGCCTGTCCCCCACCAGCTCCAACCTCTCGCAAAGATCTCTGGGGTCGGAGGGGCCTGTGGGCACTTCCCGGCCCTTTGTGTGCATGGATGAAATGGGGAATTGTCCCGAGATCCCTGAGGATGGGCCTTTGGCTGATGGGCACTGTCCCTGCAATGCTGGCCCGCTGTGGGGACATCGGTGGACAAGCCCTTTTTGGGCCACCCCCAGCTTGCTGGTCCCTAGCCACTTGGACTTTCGGGCTTGTGGCTACTTCAGGCCAGCCTCACCTGTCTTGCCTTCTCGTCCCTCTCCAGGGGCCCGGCGCACGCCTCTGCCAGCCCCATAGCCCAGCTACAGGAAAGCCTCAATGAGCACAGGGGCCTCTGAGACCAGGCCGCTGTGTCTCAGTACCCGGCAGCCCCCTTCTCCGTCCCTGAGCTGGCTCCCTCTCCCACTCCCCGCACTGTCCCCAACCTTCCCTGCAGGCCGAGGGCCCAGGTGTGCTAGCTCAACTTGGCAGCTGTCATTAGAAACAGAGGCCCTCGTGGGACACCCTCCCTCAGTTCCCACCCCTCTCTCCCGGCACCCAGCGTCACACCCTGGCTCTCCTTTCGCCTGTGGCTCCCGCTTCTCTTCAGCAGTCTTCACTTCCGTCCTCTCGGGCATCGGCTAAATGGCCATGCTCGCTTCTTGCCGCCCTCTGGCCTCTGCTCATCCTGGATTGCCCTTCCTCTTTCCTCCACCTGTTAGTGCCAGCTCCAGAGGTGCCTCCACCTGGAAGCCCTCCTTGTGCTGCCCCTCCCAACCTAGCAGTTAGGTGTACTCTCCCCATAGCACATCTTCTCACTTCTAAGGGCCAAGTAAGCTGCAGGCTACTGTCGGTTTCCTATCTTACCCTTATTATTTTTTTCCCCCCAAAGCTTATTTATTTTTGAGACAGAAAGAGAGAGAGACAGAGACAGAGCAAGGACGGGGGAGGGACAGAGAGCGAGGGAGACAGATCCAAAGCAGGCTCCAGGCTCCGAGCTGTCAGCACAGAGCTGGACGCGGGGCTCGAACTCACCAACTGTGAGCTCATGACCTGAGCCGAAGTCGGACGCCTAATGGACTGAGCCACCCAGGCGGCCCTGTCTATCTTATCTTTAAACTGGAAAGCTCTCCACGTGTGCTCGGCACATCGTAGGTGCTCCACACATTCCAAGCCCTCTCTCTGTCACACCCTGCATCCCATCCGTCACCAACAACTATTGGTCCTGGAATCCCCCCCACTTGGTGCCACCCTCAAATGACTATCCTCATCTACCCAAAGTGCCTTTTCATAGTTTTTTTTTTTTTTAAGTTTTATTTATTTACTTTTGAGAGAGACAGAGATAGCGTGAGCGGGGGAGGGGCAGAGAGGGAGGGAGGGAGAGAATCCCAAGCAGGTTTCACGCTATCGGCGCTGAGGCTGATGTGGGGCTCAAACTCACGAAACCATGAGATCATGACCTGAGCTGAAACCAAGAGTCAGAGGCTCAATGGACTGAACCACCCAGGCGCTCCTCAAAGTGTCCCTCTAAGTGAGCCCCTTGCTCCAGCCCCAGAAGCCCCGCACCTTGTCC